GGAGTGAAGACTCTCCCGCTCTCCTTCAAAATCTCTTCCAGAGATTATAAAAATAAATAAATTAGAAATTAGAAAACAAACAAAGACAAAACCAGTACAGTAAAAACAGTCGGACGGACAGTGGCACAGTGCTCATTCAGTAAATGCACAGCTAAACAGAAGTGTTTTGAGTCTGGATTTGAAAGTGACTACTGTAGGAGCACATCTGATCTCCTCTGGAAGCTGGTTCCAGCATAATAGCTAAAAGCAGACTCTCCATGCTTAGACCGAACCCTTGGTATTTCTAGCTGATGTGATCCTAATGATCTGAGTGATCTGTTGGGTTTATATTCAGTGAGCATATCTGCAATATATTGAGGTCCTAGGCCATTGAATGATTTATATACCAGTAATAATACTTTAAAATCAATCCTAAATGTAACTGGGAGCCAGTGTAGAGACCTGAGGACTGGTGTGATGTGTTCATATTTTCTGTCTCTGTGCTGTGATGCGATCGGAAACCAGATTGAAAATTGTCAAAGTATACATTTGAGCTTAAGAATTTGTTCAGCTGATTGAAGACAACTTTTTCAATGATCTTGCCTATAAAAGGAAGATTTGAGATCGGTCTATAGTTGCTTAAGATGGTCTTATCCAGATTGCTCTTTTTCAGGAGGGGCTTGACAACTGCAGTTTTCAGGGAGTTTGGAAAACTACCAGAAAGAAGTGAGGCATTTACCACTTCTAGGAGATCTGCTTCTAAGCTGTTTAACACACTTTTGAAAAAAAGATGTGGGAAGTGCGTCAAGGGCGCAGGTTGATGTTTAAGGTGCTGTACGGTTTCTTCCAAAATTGTGCCTTCAATTTCTTCGAAAACAGACATAGTAACTACTTTCTCAGGTTGTGGTCTGATCTGTCTGACCCCAGTGCGGCTCAATGATGTGCTGATCACCTTTCTGATATTATTAATTTTCTCAGAGAAGAAAGAAGCAAACTCACTGCACTTGCTGTCTGACAGCATTTCACTGGGAATCTGGCTTGGGGGGTTTGTCAGTCTCTCTATAGTAGCAAAAAGAGTGCGTGTGTTGTTTAAGTTGCTGTTTATAGTATTCGAGAAGAAAGTCTGTCTAGCTTTGCCTAGTTCAATATTAAAAGCATGGATGCTGTCTTTGTAGATGTTATAATGGACTACAAGTTTTGTCTTCCGCCACATGCTAAAGTGATGTACATCCCAATAAAGCAATCATAAAAAAATAAAAACAATCAAAAACGACCAGAAACCTACGGAGTGTTGCAAAAGAAACATTACAATTAGGTCTTAAAGGCAAATATATGGTAATAAATACCATATTTAAATGATAATAATCATTCCCAAGGGAAGCATCTATAATGGAACAAGCCAGGGCCCGGATGGACCCCTGTGGACCCACTGGTGCTGGAGAACAACAGCCGCCCTTCACTGTAAAGGTCTTTGCTCCAGTCGGATATCAAATCTGACACAAATCTGCATATGAACAGCTGTGATACTCAATATGGACAGTTAATAATTTAGCTCAGATTCCAATAGAAGGTTTCAGTGTGAACATGATCTCTGTACGGTTTCCCTCTTTCCCTCGGGATCTCCTCTCTCCTGCACGAGTCTTTCCCCGTATTTCTGTCTCTTTACTCGACATTTCTGCCTCAAACAGACAAACAAAATCATCTTTTAATATGAAAAGCATGGCAAACACGGTGAAACATGGTAAAATTAAGTATGAAACCGAAAAGGAATTCATTATTGTATGGGTGATTTAATGGTCACCATGAAATTCATTAAATAGGTTTTGAACATTTATTTATTTATCATTAAAAAGATGTAATATTGTGTGACAAATATATCATAGTGTCATATGACGTTTTGTTCAGTTAAGCTATTCTCTTGGTTAACTAAAAACATCTAGCTTACACTTAGCATGTCAATTGCCACATGCAGCAATGGTTTTTAAGAATTAATAAGTAAAAAAAAAAAAAAGTGTTTTATTTTTCTGTAAATAATGATTGCACATTTTCTATAGCACCTAAAAAAGGTGTAAAACTGCATTGATGAGGAAGAGGATTCACACTGATGAGGAAGAGGAGGATATAGTGACAGTGAGTGTGAAGATGATGAAGATCATAACTTGATATGATGGTTTGGTAATAATTGTGCTCCTCTATGGTTGTTGCCTGAGAGCAACAGCTGGATATGAAATGTTACTTTTTATTATATACTGAATAAAAGTGTCTGATTAAAAAAAAAAGATTTTTTCAATAAATGTATACTTTCTAAATGAAAAATTCAAATGTTTCAATTTAGCCATTGTGATACAATGTAGGAACAAACTAAAAAACTAAATTGATGAAAATGTTTAGATTGATAGTGTGTTTGTGTCCAATTGTATGCAGGAAAAAAAAATTGTTTCCTCATTGATCATATTGTGGACCATAGAGGATTAATATTAGAATATGTGTCCCTAGGTTTACACTTAAAGGCATTTGTATCCACAACCTAACGAGTATACGATGTCTACGGTTATTAACAGAGAAAAGCGCTCTCTATCAGACGGAATGAGTGGCTGTTAAAAGAGCCGTTGGTCGTCGGTGAGGGGCCGGAGCGCTACTTGGCCTTGGCGGGCTTCTCGGTCTTCTTGGGCAGCAGCACGGCCTGGATGTTGGGCAACACGCCGCCCTGAGCGATGGTCACTCCGCCCAGAAGCTTGTTCAGCTCCTCGTCATTGCGCACCGCCAGCTGCAGGTGCCGGGGGATGATGCGGGTCTTCTTGTTGTCCCGAGCGGCGTTTCCAGCCAGCTCCAGGATCTCCGCGGTCAGATACTCGAGCACAGCCGCCAGATACACAGGAGCTCCGGCACCGACGCGCTCGGCGTAGTTGCCTTTGCGGAGGAGCCTGTGGACACGGCCGACGGGGAACTGCAGCCCTGCCCTGGACGAGCGAGTCTTGGCCTTCGCTCGGGCTTTGCCGCCGGTTTTGCCTCTGCCGCTCATTTTATAGATCAGTTTCTACAACCTTCACAGTGGAAGAGAACAGAATGAAGAGCAGCGCTTCCACACACTGTCTTTAAGCGAGAGCGCCAGTCGCTCATTGGCTTAGAGTCTGTTAACATTTAAACCAATCACTGAACTTTCCTCCAAAGCCCAACCCCCTTTCTGGCGGGAATAAATATGCACAACTATTTGTGACGGTAAAGACTATGCACGACTGACTGCTATTAAAGGACATTTAACTAATCATCACCCAGTCAAAAACATATTGTAAAACTGCTGGGAAAATGAGCAGACATATCGAATATCTTTGGCTGGACAGCAGGCTCAACAAATAGGCATCAGTAATATCCACATTAGCCCCAGTGGCTCTGCCAGTCTTTCCACCTTGGCTCTTCTCAATGCATGATAAATGAAAACCAGAAATATGTTTCAAAAGAGACAATAATGCAGCAGTATTTAAAAACTGAATATTTCCACTGCTGTTTCAATGTTTATGTAATGAGTTATTATAATCAAGATATTAATCATTATTTATTAGTCAGGTTTATGTGAAGTATGTTTAATAGAGGAGACAGTAGAACATGTATTGAAGAAATGTAAGGCTTATAATAAACAAAGGAGGATTCTCAAGCAAGCTGTAGGATGCCAGGAATTCACTATAACCAACGTATTAAATGATGGTCCAAATTCAGGAAAACAAATAAATGCAATCATGAGATTTATTAAGAATACTGGGTTATATATTTGGATATAGGAGTATTTAGTTCATTCTCACAGTAGGTGGCGGTATGCACCTTTAAAGTTGGTTCACAACCTGCCATAAAACCAAAAGAAGAAGAAGAAGAAGCGACTTTCATTTGAGAATAGTTGGCAACACAAACAAGCGAGGGTCATCATAGGGAAATGGCAGATCATGGAAACAAATGCTATGTTCCAGGCTGTGCAGGGGATGTGAGGACTTTTCATACCCTTCCCACAGAAAAGAAATGTCAACAGGCGTGGTTAATGTTCATCTATAATCGGATACCGCAACAGTTTAACTCGAAGTTGTTAGTTTGTTCTGCCCATTTCACCACGGACTTATTTTCTAACCTGGGACAGTATCAAGCAGGTTTCTCTCAGCGTCTCATCCTGAAGAAGGGGGCACTTCCAACTATACTCCCGCAAGCGGTAAACTAGTGCTATTATTAACGATAATCTACACTGTGTAATGTAGATCCAGCGCAAGATCCTAGTACAGTAACAATAGCAAACTCCAAGTAACGAGCATACATAACTAAATAGCATGACATTACGCTGAGAGATTAATAATTCTTGCCTGTGTTGTCATATAAATCTACAAAATAATACATATGTAAATTCCCTTTTGTCAAATAATTTTACTTTCGTCTATTTCATCAACAACTAAGTTACGTTAGTATAGTTGCTCACAGATAATGTTAGCTCACTCGATCCTTCTAGCTAACTTCACATTCTCCACCACATAAGATGAAGCTATATTTATTTGACAAGGCATCTAGCGTTAGTCCATTTGTTAAAATGTTTTAATTTTTTGAAAACTGATGTATGTTTATTTCGCACGCGTGTGTATCAGAGTGCACCACAGCGCATGCGCACTAATGATGTCGGCTGCCAAACGGAGGATCCCGGCGTCCTGTGTTCGGGAACACCGCTGTCTGTGAACACACTGAGCTCACACCTTCAAAGCAAAGGTAATGTTACTTATCATTAAGTGCATATGTGCTGGATTATAAGGACAGATTAACTGAGTACTATTATTAAATGCCAGCTTGTTTAACTCAATAAGTCTGCAGTTCTTTTCATAATCATCAAGATCCTTCTGCGCTAATGTACAGAAAAGATGACTTGTGTCCCGCTATTGAAATCTTGCATGGGTTACCATTATTCCCCTTACTAATTATATATATATATTTTACTGGTAGGCACACAGGTGACCGTGTCATCTCAAAGTGTGGCGGTAGGCACCACAACTACTGAAATGTCATGGGCCGCAATAGATCCATGTACACCAACCCCATTGAAGGCTTCAAGGCCCGCTAAAAGACCCCGTGTTGAATTTGAAGAGGAAATATTCCCCATTTCCGTGTCTGATCCACAAGCACGGTCTGTTACAGCCGAGACACAATCATCACACGTTTTGTAAGTTATATCTCTGTAACAAATCAGCAATTAATACACTAACAAGCACAATGTATTTTTTTCTTTCAGTGCCACATCAATGCCATTCCACAAGGATGCAAAGTACATTGTTTTTGAAGAGTGTCTCCTCAGCCTGTTCGAGAGTTGTCCTGTTTGCACCCGGGCTTGTGATGTCTGCCCACGCAGAAGAGGGACCTTTATAGCCATCGAGCAGCTGTGCGCTCGCTGTGGGTTCTCCAGACGGTGGCGGAGCCAGCCTGTGGTCGGCAGCACTCCCGCGGGCGACCTCCAGCTCTCCGCCGCCGTCTGTTTCAGCGGAGCTTCCTTCCTGAAGATGCGAAAGGTGTTGTGTCATTTGTACCCCCCAAATCAGCCAACACTAGACAGGACAACTAAATATTTTACAATTGTTTTTTTTAAAGGTGTTCAGGGCGATGCACCTGAAAACACATACATATGATGCTTTTAGAAGACATGCCAGGACATACCTTGAGCCTGCTATCATATACAAGTGGACTGAGGAGCAAAGTTTGCAACGGCACGACCTGAGCCAGAGCAAGAGTGTCATTGTTGCTGGTGACATGCGAGCAGACTCGCCAGGTGCACGTTTTTAATTCAGTTTCTCCTTCTATGTAAACAACTATGCATTGCACAAGTACAGGTGAAACTCGAAAGATTAGAATATGGTGCAAAAGTTCATTTATTTCAGTAATTCAACTTTAAAGGTGAAACTAATATATTATATAGACTCATTACATGCAAAGTGAGATATTCCAAGCCTTTATTTGTTATAATGTTGATGATTATGTCTTATGAAAACCCCAAATTCAAAATGTGAATATTGTGAAAAGGTTGTCATAGCTGTAAGCCATAATCATCAAAATTATAACAAATAAAGGCTTGAAATATCTCACTTTGCATGTAATGAGTCTATATAATATATTAGTTTCACCTTTTAAGTTGAATTACTGAAATAAATTAACTTTTGCACGATATTCTAATCTTTCGAGTTTCACCTGTAATTGTAAATATTAAGATTATGTGCTGATAATACCTCTGCATTATTTAAAAATGATTAAAGGGGTCATATAATGCCATTTTTGTACAAGCTAATATGATTCTTTAGGGTCTAAATTAAAAGTTTGTAATGTACTTTAATTAAAAATTCTCATTAGTATTGTAAGAGAACAGTTATTTTACCTGGTCAAAAACAGCTCTGTTTTCAGCACGCCGTTTCAGTGCATATGCCTTTAAATGATAATGAGCTGTGCTGACTCCGCCTCTCTGTTCTGTGCATACACCGTAACTCAATAACACAATAACCATAACGCGTTGTTCAGTATAAACGTGGGATTATGAATTATATTGAGAACGTCATACATAGAAAACATACGGTACGGTACAGTTCGGTACGCAATTATTTGCGTTTCCACTGTCAAAAGTTGTGAATAGTACCAAAAAGCCGAGCCGTACCGTACCACTTTTTGGGTACCCTTCCGTTGGGGTCCTAGCACAGCGGTACGGTACTAAAGGGCGGAGCTAGACTCACTGCAGAACGCTGATTGGTTGACAGAGAATTGTCACTTGCGCGTGCTACAAGGGCATTAGAAGCGCCATTTTTTAATAAACAGTTGAAATATATACTACTGTTATTGTGTCACGAAATGAAGTTTTAAGAGTTTTTCAGGCGAGAAAGTAGTTTTTTAAAGCTCAAATCTGTGGTTTATTTATAGATTTATGATAATTTCAAGATCCATTCCAAGCAATCACCGGGCGCTCGGCGCTCGTGCACCCCGCCTGGAGCAGCCTTTCCCCGGCTAGCCGTTCTGATGTTTGCCGCTGACTCTGACGTCTCTGTAGTGGTTAAACATGAGATATAATTCGTCTTGTACAGACCTAACAGGCGATCTTTGGTCTCGTGAATCTATAATTCGTTCCCTGGCCAATAGTTTTGACAGAAGGCTAAGTGAAGTTTCATATATTTGAGCGCTGAATTTGTATATTTGACTGAATTGTTTGCTTTATGTTATTAAAGCTTTACTGTATATCTTTTTGTACCTTTTACTTATACTTTTATAATGGCTATTATTGATAAAACTGAAATTCAACAAAAATAGATAGTTTTGTCATTTATTTTATTTTATTACAAGATCATCTGTAATGTTGTTTATTGCAACATTTGTACCAATGCAATATGCAATACATTGCCTGGAATATGTTTAATATTTTTAAATTTAAACGAAAAGAGGCAGGATTGTGTTTTATATTTAGTTTTGTTATAAATATAACGTTACATACATGCAGTGAATATAATCAATAGGCTATGCGTTGCCTGAACCACATTTGTGTGCTTATAATGTTTAAAATGTATTTAAATTACGCTGTTCCACCAGCAGAATTACTGGACTCGCGTCCTCGGGAGTCATTCTCCTGAGTCGGACTTTGCGTAGGCTACTTGGTATTGAGAAACGCCTAATGCCAGCGCTTGTTTCTTGTGACAAACATGCCGAGAAGCAAGAACAAGATCTGCTGTCTGTCATCCATAGTTGTTTACTATGTCGCTTTCTTCGCGCGAAAATGACGTCGATCGCTTCTTTCCGGCAAACACCACGCCTATCAAGTAAGGGTACTGTTGGCGGTGGAAACGCTAGCCGGATCATGGTTTACCGACCCGAACCGTACCGTACGCCTCAGTGGAAACGAGCCATTAGACACATTCAATGTGAAGCGTGCAGCTAGCGATTTGCAAAGATTAATATATTAATATAAAGTTTAATAAAACGTTACACTCACTTCCGTTCTTCTGGAGGTTCAGCAGGAACACGAATATCTGGTACCGATCTTTTTTCATGAGCAGCTTCTTAGCAAAACCAGCTTTACACTGACCCTCGTTTATAAAGCAGTCCACTGAGAAATGATTCGCGCAAACATGAGAGCATTGACGTTGCTCGTGGGGAATATTCCCTTTGAAAACAAACTCAGCCACTGCGTCTTCAGCGGTTCGGGTTTAGGAACATTAAAATGACTGTGTTCGTTATTACACCCAAGAACAGAACACCACAATCGCTTAGAGCCATTCTGCTCATAGACAGTGCTCCAGCATATCAACAATGACCGCGCCGGTCCGCGCAGACTATGATTGACAGCTGGCTCACGAGCGAGGGCGGGTCTGTGTTGAAACGCTCCTGTCAATCAACAATCGTGGGAGGGGCGTGCGAGCTTGTGACGTCACAGGCTCGAACGGCTCGATTTGAGGCAGGGGAAAACATATAAGGAGATTAAAACAAAACCACTGGATGGATTTTTATCATTATATGATGGTTGTGTACAGGCACTGCCAACACACATTTCAGTACAATCAACTTGTAAAAGTGCATGTACCATTATATGACCCCTTTAATGACTTCTTTTTTTTTTAATTGCAGGACATTCGGCAAAATATGGGAGCTACACTATGATGGACTTGCAGACCAACAACATAATAGACATTCAGCTGGTGCAGGTACTTCAACTGCAGACTACGGCTAATATACTCTTCTTATGTATAACTATGTAAAACTTTTTGACATTTGACACCTTTGTCTTTAGTATCATTTTTTAACAAATCTGTGCAAATTTCAGAGATAAAATACAGCATACATAACATACACAGCAATTTTTACGTAGAGAAAAAGAGACTTTTTTTCATGCGCACTTCTTACTAAATATGTAATTTATGGAGATATTACATATGGTTGTGTGTTTCTGCTAAGAGCAGCGAGGTAGGGGGACGCCGCCACATGGAGGAGGAGGGCCTAAGAAGAAGCCTGGACCTCCTGGAGGAAAGCGGCGTGAAGTTGGACTGCGTTGTTACTGACCGTCACCCTCAGATACGAAAGTTTTTAAAGGATCGTAAAATTAACCACTATTATGACGTCTGGCACATGGTGAAAGGTAATGCTTGCGTCTTTGAAAGAAAATAGATTTCAAATATTCATGGTATTAGTGCTATCCATATTTCTGAAAAAGCTTACTGCATCAAATAAATAAAAAATCTGATATGTTTTGCCTGTAAATTTGACTTCATCAGGATTGTCAAAGAAGCTGGAGAAAATTTCCAGAGAGAAGGACTGTAGTTTGGTGAAGAAGTGGCGTAAGAGCATCACCAACCACCTGTGCTGGTCCGCCAGCGGCGCTGATTCGGGACCCGAGAGGGTCGCCAAATGGACCTCCATCATGAACCACATTCAAGACATCCACACACATTCTGACCCAGCGTTCCCTCGCTGTCAACATGAGCAAAGGGTGTCTAAGGACCATAGCAAGTGGTTTCATCCAGGTGTGTAACCTCAATGTGTTATTTGCCAAGTAAACCGTAAAAAGCAAGTTATGTTAATCCTACAATATTCATGTGTTTTATAAATAACCTCACACTGATTTCCCCCAAGGTTCAACAGCACTGGATAAGCTTCATAGGGTCCTGATGAACAAGAGAGTGCTTTCAGATGTAGAGAAGCTGAGTCCACATTACCAGACATCAACTGTGGAGTCATTTCACAAAGTCATCTCGCACTTTGCACCGAAACATGTTGTCTTCCCCTTCATTGGGAGGCTCTGCAGGTTTGTCTTCTCCCTCACGACTCGAACATGGGTCAGACACAACACAACACATAAACAGATACGTTTGAAAGGGGCATACTATTGTTTTCTGTCTAGGCAAACCAAATGCAGTGTAGTGCCTTTCAGTTAGAGACTACAGTTTACAGAATGGTGTAGATTTATAAGTATATAAGTGCTATTTTTAATATTTTCATAATTTTAATGATAAATAAAATAGTTGATTTATTCACTATGCCAATATGAACATTTTTTGTGTTTGTTTGTCTTCTCCTTTAGGCTGTATCTCGCAGCGATGCACTTCAATGAGAATGCTGTCCGGACACAAGTGACGACATCTAAAGGGAAACGCGTGTACGAGCCTCTCTTTCCAAAGCCCAAACCGGGAGGACACGCAGTCAAACCAGAGCCAACATTTTGTAAGCTTTTCCCAAAAATATTTATTTTAAACAATACTTACAAATGAGCAAATTAAATGAATATTCAAATAAATAAAAAATAACTTTGTGGCAAAAATTCTGTTAAACATCATCACTGCGTAAGAGACAACTCGGAATCAAATTATTAAAAGAGAAGTATTTATTCTTGCAAGAATAGGCCCAGTCGCCAACACAGCAGTGACCCTGTGGAGTGAGGAAGATATGACACCGCCTTTATGCTTTTGTCAAGGTTCCTCTTCACCCGCTGTACCTTTCACCCACCCAGATAAGGTCCTCACTGCTGTTCAGTCTCTACTTAAAGGGTTAGTTCACCCAAAAATGAAAATTAAGTCATTAATCACTCACCCTCATGCTGTACCAACCCCGTAAGACCTTCGTTCATCTTCGGAACACAAATGAAGATATTTTTGATTAAATCTGAGAGCTGGATCACTCCTCCATAGGCTTCCTAAGGGAATGACACTTGACGGCCCTTGAAAGTCATTAAAGAAAATGTTTAAATATTCCATGTGCCTACAGTGGCTCAACTATAAGTTTATCAAGCGACGAGAATACTTTTTGTGCGGAAAAAAACAAAACTAACGACTTTATTCGACTATTCCATTGCTTCCTTGTGGGCCTGAGACGAGAGTTCAAGAGATTTCCACGACGCATGCGCGAGAACTGACCTTCTTCTTCTTCTACTACTATGTACAGCGCGCGTCTTTCTGTGCTTGTAAGACCATAGACAGTAAAAGAAATGGACACAGCGACCCCATAGACTTCAACGGAGAAAAGTGAAGTCAAATAGAAGCACTCACTTCCTGATGGCGGAGCGACTGCGCTGGCTCAAACTGAGCTGGACGACGGAGATGTGACGTTATTTTTGTTTTGTTTTTCCGCACAAAAAGTATTCTCGTCGCTTGATAAACTGATAGTGGAGCCACTGTAGGCACATGGAATATTTAAACATTTTCTTTAATGACTTTCAAGGGCCGTCAAGTGTCATTCCCTTAGGAAGCCTATGGAGGAGTGATCCAGCTCTCAGATTTAATCAAAAATATCTTCATTTGTGTTCCGAAGATGAACGAAGGTCTTACGGGGTTGGTACAGCATGGGGGTGAGTGATTAATGACTTATACCACGGCCTGTTTAAATACTCGATTCTGATTGGCTGGAAGGTGTGCAGTAAAACCGTTTAATGCACAGGTAGTTCCAGTCAGTTTGATTACAGTTCGAAATTAATCCGCTACTATAAACATTGGTAACCATAGTAACAGAGTTACACTTGCAAAAGAGTGAGAGAGAGAGACACATATGAAAACGTTATAGGCTCAGAGCCATAGAGAGAAAGAGTTGCGACGCAAAGAGTTTGATGTCGCCGCGATGGCTGTCACGTGGTTCATGTAAGCCCCAATAGTTCCACAACATACGCGGGCTGTCATGTTCTTCTATGGGACAGACAGCAGCGATTGCATTATTGACCGGTAAATATAAAATAAAACACACACCCAATTTTTTTTTTTAGCTGTTACTGCATTATTGCATTAGTTATGCATTTGGAGAGGCAGGGTGACAACGAAATAGCCTATTACTGTATATTACTTAGATACGTTTTAGGCTTTTTTTTTTTTTGAGGGAAAAGACAGATAAGATCGAAGACGACAAAGATGAGGTCAATACGAAAAAGACAACTAAATGGGCAGTTACACTTTCAGTGACTTGTTGCGCCGTACAGAACAGTTGTGATTTCGAGACCTAACGTTACTCTGCTTCTCTTTTAAATGAGACATTTCGGGAGTTTTATGCCTCTGTTCAGTCGACCGCTGGACGCGAATACAGTGTTGCAAGTTTGATGCGTCTCAGAGCAGGAATAAACCGTCACATTACAAAATACAACATCATAAGGGATAAGGACTTCAAGTCAAGCAATGCCGTCTTTAAATCAGTTTTAAAGCGCTACAGGACAAATGGAAAAGACACCAGCGTTCATCATCCGCGTAAGAAAAGTTTGGTTTGACATACAGCTAATTAATTTAAATAAATGACATGATTAGTTCAAATAAAGCTTTCCTTGTCACTGTCAGTGTTGCCTATCATTCATAAATAATTTTAATAAATCCATGAATCATTAAGTTAGCTAATAGGCCTATGCTTAAGTTAAGCGCAACGAGGGGACTGTAGACTTTAAAGAAGAGACGCATAGGTAACTCGCGCACGCATCTCTCACCACGCATGGTGAAAGAAATCTTTACATTGCCAAAGCACTCATAACACTATACAATACAAACAAATAAATTAATAATAATAATAAAAATCTTCAATCTTCTAGTATTTATCTCAGTGTCTCTAGGCGTACAGTTGGTAGCTCTGTCCTGCCGGAGGCTCTCTCTTCGTGACAGGACCTCACATATCTGGCAGCCAGGGTTGAGCTCGCTGGGCTTTCTCCTAGCAGGAGTGGGAGTTTGTCCATATTCGATTTTTGGGGGAAGTCCTTCTGGTAGGTTGTGAAAAGGGGATAGAAAGTGTCCTAATGTTTTTATATTTGGGGCAGGATGTCAAGAAGTGCAGTTCTGTTTCCACCTGATTCTCTGTGCAGTGAGGGCACAGTCGCTCTTCCCTCGGCAGCCGTGTGTGTGTGTGTGTGTGTGTGTGTGTGTGTGTGTGTGTGTGTGTGTGTGTGTCGGCCTGTCTCGATGCTCAGACTGTGTTCACTGAGTCTGTACATGCTCAGGACTTTCTGTACATGCTCGCTCTCTCTCTCTCTCTCTCTCCTCTCTCTCTCTCTCTCTCTCCTCTCTCTCTCTCTCTCTCTCGCTCTCTCTCTCTCTCTCTCTCTCTCTCTCTCTCTCTCTCTCTCTCTCTCTCTCTCTCTCTCTCTCTCTCTCTCTCTCTCTCTCTCTCTTTCTCTCTCTCTCTCTCTCTCTTTCTCTTCTCTCTCTCTCTCTCTCTCTCTCAATTCAATTTCAATTCAATTCAATTCAGAAAGCTTTATTGGCATGACAAAAAAATACATTTTGTATTGCCAAAGCATCAAAACAACATAGAAAATGATTTAGAACATTTAGTACACAAAATAATAATACTGATAGCATAAAACCATAATAATAAAATAAACAAAGATCAATAAATAAAATATAAAGGATTTAGAAAACATCTCTGTACAAAACAAAAACAAGCAAAAAACAAACGAACACTGAACTTGGAATTGAACATATACATGTGTGTAGGTCTTAGGCTGTGAGTGTGTGTGTGTGTGTGTGTACTGTGTAGGTCTTAGGCTGTGAGTGTGTGTGTGTTTATTGGATGTTTGCTGGTCTCTGGTCGTCCCTCAGGATATGGCAGGATGCTACAAATTTTGCAGCTATATATGAGCATTTGGCTTCTTCGCCAAGAATGAAACGGAGTTTTTGGGTTGGGTTACAGGTGGTTAAAATGGGGAAATATTTGGTTAATTTTGGGGTAATAGTGGTCTCTGATGCGTTTATATTTTGGGCATTCTGTGAGGAAGTGCAGCTCGGTCTCCGTCACTCCCAGGGTGCAGTGCGGGCAGAGTCTGTCCTCACGGGAGAGCCAGGTCTGTCTGCGCCGGCCCGTCTCTATGGCCAGGCTGTGCTCGCTGAGTCTCTCTCACACACACACACACACACACACACACACACACACTCCCGTCTCTATGGCCAGGCTGTGCTCGCTGAGTCTGTACATCGTCAGGGTTCTCCTGAGTCTCACATCACTCACTGTGCTCAGGTAGTTCGCAACAGTGTACTCTCGATTTAGTGCCGAATAACATTCCAGTTTGTGTTGGTTTTTAATGGTGTTTGTCCAATGGCTGATGTACTTGTCTTGTTCTGTGGTGATAATTTGTGCGGGCCGAATGTGTGTGAGTGTGTGTGTGTGCTGAGGCGAGCTGATCTCTGCAGGAGAGAGCCCAGTCAGTCTCAGCACCCGCTGGCACAGGGGACTCCTCGCTACGCTCAGCTCTTGGTGTTGTAGGGCTTTGTAGTGGGTATGTGTTGGGGTCGCTTGTTTTAAGGTGTTTCCAGAATTTGATGGCTCTTTTTTGATGTTTAGAAGGAGAGGGTATTGGCCTAATTCTGCCCTGCATCCGTTGTTTGGTGTTTTCCTTTGGACTTTGAGGATTCGTTTACAGAAATCTAAATGTAGAGTTTCAATTGGATGTTTTTCCCAATTTAAAAAATCAAATTTGATAGAAGGACCCCACACTTCACTGCCATATAAAACAATTGGTTCAATTATTGATTTGAAAAGTTTGAGCCAAATTTGGATTGGGATGTCAATTTTGATGGATCTTTTTATGGCATAGAAAGCCCTTTGAGCTTTCTCTTTGAGTTCATTCACAGCCAAAGTAAAGTTGCCAGTTGGAGTTATTTTCAGGCCGAGGTAGGTGTATGTTTTTGTGCTCTCAATGGTTCTGTGTGATAGTGTGAATGTGTGTGTTGGTCCCTGAGATCTGGAGCGTTTCTGGAACATCATGACTCTAGTTTTCTGGAGGTTGACGGTCAGGGCCCAGGACTGACAGTAATCCTCCAGCAGATCCAGGCTGTCCTGAAGCCCCTCTTTAGTAGGCGACAGGAGGACCAGGTCGTCTGCGTAGAGAAGACACTTGATCTCGGTGTCGTGTAGAGTGAGACCTTGAAAGGGAGCATGTTCTAATATATCGGCTAATTGGTTGATGTAAATGTTGAAGAGGGTGGGGCTTAAACTGCAGCCCTGTCTCACTCCACGCCCCTGGGGGAAAAACTCGGTTCTTTGGTTTCCAATTTTAACAGCGCATTGGCTGGCTGTGTACATCGATTTGAT